TTACATTTTTCATAGGATTTCCCACGAGAAATTGAACAAAAAGCCGACAAATTGGCCTATTTCTTATGCATACCAATTGAAGTCTTTTGCCTCATGTTTTGCCTCATGTCAGGCACGATTCGAGGCATGAACCTGAAATAGCTTTCTTAAAACATGCATATAGGAGCAAAAAAGAGGACAGGAACCATCTGTATAGGGAACTACATCAATGTTTAATCTGAGTATGATTCAACACTATACCATTAAGACTCTGAAATTTGTGGTGAAAATCAAAACAAATACAGAAAACCTTCTTTCATGTGTCTCAGTTCAATAATTATGCACCTAAAAATCAGAGCAACAGTAGTACAGATTAGTTATGAATGTAGAAATTAGCCGTGGATAACATGGCTGAAAACAAAACAATCCAGCTAAAACTTGTGAAGAATAAATCTAAAGTGTGTTTGAAAATGGATCTAAAGAGTAACAAGCATGTCATGGATTCCATAGGAGTTAATAAGTGAACCTCATCTCCTTAAGCTATTAACAACAGCAACGCAAGCCCCTCTTTGACTCCTATTAAAACGTAACTCTTTATTTCTCATACTTAGTGCATGCTTGGCAGTGATTTTTCTACCCCCCACCCCAATAAAAAAATAAATAAATATTTAATTTTTTAACCGTTATTTTATACTTCTTTTCTACCAGGTAGAACCCATTTTTCTTTCTAACAATCAAAAAATCAATTCTCATAATCACTACCGAACAAACCCTTATTTTCAACCACACATTAAAATATTCTGCATGTAAACCAAACACTTTTTCCTACTTTTAACCACACATTCTCCAAAAATTCACCATACAAAACATCATTTTTCCCCAATTTCCTAGATCTTGTTCGCAATTATCTTTGATTGCTATATCTATTGTAATATTCAAAGCAGCTAAACTTTTTGCAACATAACAAATCCTAAGAGTTTTGCTCTTGATCCTCCCTCCTAACATAGTCAACTAAGATTGCATTAACTTTAATGAAGAAAACCTCTTCAAATCTAATCAACACGTCACAACGACTGTTTCTACGGACTTTTGGCTGTCCTAGGATTCATAAATCTTTTGGTATATCTCATTTGTGCTGTGTGGTACAAACCTCATCAGAAACCTAAACCTGCTGCTAAACAGATAGAGACTGCTGTTTTTAATGGAACTGCTCAAGAAAACTGCTAATTTTTCAAGTTGAGTTTTACTAGATAAAAAGGTTTTATCGGTACCATGTAATCAGTGTAATTGAAGTTAAAACAAGTGTGTTTTCTTGTGTTTGATTTTACCTTTTATAAATTTAGCAAAAGAGTGATGTCCCAATTTTCAGTGCCTGTATTGTATACTTTGTTCAAATTAATGATGATTTTCGACGTCTTTCAGTGCTTGCTTCAATTTATAAAGGGCCATCTTCAGTTCATAGAGTTTTTCTTCAAAGTTATATCAGGCAAACGAAACATAATCGACGTGCCTTCACCCAAATATGGATTTCAAAGTTTCACCATATAATATTTCTACAGTGAGTTTTACAGTTAAAAGCAACGACTGACCTAGCTTTGGAACTGCACGCCCACGAGATCAGCATCAAAATTTAACATCTCCAGACAAAACGAATTAACCCACAAGAATTAACAAATAAATCAAAATGAGTGCAAATCGGACATCTAAGAGGAAAAAGGACTTGAAACAAGTTTAATAAACCGTCATCTTTGTCTAGTTTGTATGGTAAAAAATAGAGTAATAAAATGTCCAAAAGATGCAGGACAAGTGTTCAAACACCTTTGTCTCGAGGCTTAGCTGTGAGGCATAAGCCTTACAAGTGACACTTGAGGAAGCTTTGAGGCGTTCTCATGAAAAGGGTCACATCTAATATTCAAAGTTTGCCTCGGTTTGGTACCGTTCTTGCTGCCCGTGCTAGTTCGCATCAAACTAGTGATAGTTGATGAGAGTCACCTCGGAAACCCAAAAAAAAAAAGGTAACATCAAATTCACTTGGAGGTATTCTCTCAATTCCAATACACCACACTCAGATATATTGGATTTGTTACTAAAAATATCAGTATTATATCCAAAACTCTCGACAGATGGCCGGTGCCCCAAAGAAACGAAAAAATCAGTTACATTTTTCATAGGATTTCCCACGAGAAATTGAACAAAAAGCCGACAAATTGGCCTATTTCTTATGCATACCAATTGAAGTCTTTTGCCTCATGTTTTGCCTCATGTCAGGCACGATTCGAGGCATGAACCTGAAATAGCTTTCTTAAAACATGCATATAGGAGCAAAAAAGAGGACAGGAACCATCTGTATAGGGAACTACATCAATGTTTAATCTGAGTATGATTCAACACTATACCATTAAGACTCTGAAATTTGTGGTGAAAATCAAAACAAATACAGAAAACCTTCTTTCATGTGTCTCAGTTCAATAATTATACACCTAAAAATCAGAGCAACAGTAGTACAGATTAGTTATGAATGTAGAAATTAGCCGTGGATAACATGGCTGAAAACAAAACAATCCAGCTAAAACTTGTGAAGAATAAATCTAAAGTGTGTTTGAAAATGGATCTAAAGAGTAACAAGCATGTCATGGATTCCATAGGAGTTAATAAGTGAACCTCATCTCCTTAAGCTATTAACAACAGCAACGCAAGCCCCTCTTTGACTCCTATTAAAACGTAACTCTTTATTTCTCATACTTAGTGCATGCTTGGCAGTGATTTTTCTACCCCCCACCCCAATAAAAAAATAAATAAATATTTAATTTTTTAACCGTTATTTTATACTTCTTTTCTACCAGGTAGAACCCATTTTTCTTTCTAACAATCAAAAAATCAATTCTCATAATCACTACCGAACAAACCCTTATTTTCAACCACACATTAAAATATTCTGCACGTAAACCAAACACTTTTTCCTACTTTTAACCACACATTCTTCAAAAATTCACCATACAAAACATCATTTTTCCCCAATTTCCTAGATCTTGTTCGCAATTATCTTTGATTGCTATATCTATTGTAATATTCAAAGCAGCTAAACTTTTTGCAACATAACAAATCCTAAGAGTTTTGCTCTTGATCCTCCCTCCTAACATATTCAACTAAGATTGCATTAACTTTAATGAAGAAAACCTCTTCAAATCTAATCAACACGTCACAACTACTCTTAATTGTTGTATCTTAAAAACAAAACATATCTCAACTACTTTTAATTGTTGTATCTTAAAAACTCAGATACATTAAAAGAACCAAGCTAACTGAAGTTGTCTTGTCAATAAACAAAAGGATAAGAATTGATATTTTTAACATCCCATTTGTTACTTTAGATCTCCAAGAAAGATTTGGGTAACCTGACTCAATTTTTTTGGGAATAGTAGTTGTTCTATAAAATTCTGGTTATTATAAAAATTTTCCTATTACAACTCATTAAGGGAAAGATTACCAGTTAAGATATCTACAAAAACAACGCATGTGGACAACGAAGAAAGATGTTATGATCTAGTGAAGCCAGCATATATAATACATATGTCCAAAAATGGCTGGTTGGTTATGAAACAAAGATTCCATTGTCCAAAATCACCTAACAGGCCAGAACAGATTATGCAAGATAGCAATCTGGTCAACCCTAAAGCTGTTTTGTGTTATCATATCATTACATTTTGCGAAAACAAACCGAAATCTCAATGCTAAGTTCCAAAAACAAAAGTTTCTAACCAACCAGATGGCAGACTGAGCTAATAAAGTTCAGAGGATTCAACCATATCATTACATTTTGTGAAAACAAACCGAAATTTCAATGCTAAGTTCCAAAAAAGAAAATTCTCTACCGGCACAAATTCATCGAGAAAGATAAACCAACCAGATGACAGACCAAGTTAAGAAAAGTTCAGAGGATTCAATAATCATATCAATGCATGGCATAAAACGACACATATAACAGGTAATCAACTAAAACTCACTCTAAAAAATTCTGCTAAACAAGAGTTTTTGAAATATGGATATCATATCAAAAAGAGTTGTCCAAAGTAAGCCTCAAGTCAAGAAACATAAATATAGTAATAACATGATGTGAAAACTAATAAAACTAAGCGAATAATTAAATTAGGAAGACAAAATAGCCAAGATGTGGAGTGAATTCCTATGATAGCATACCCAAAATAGAACATATGACGATCATCATCCCCTTAATGCTGGGTCTAACCTTAAATTTGCTCTTTACTTTCCGACTCATCCTAAAAAAACAGCATTAAAGGATCAAATATTAAATCAATCCTGTAATTCATTCTTACTGGAACCATTATTCTCCCCTTCTCTTTCCTCCAGCAACCTTCCAGCCTCCTCATCAGGCTGCTGAGCCTTCTTTTGTGCTTCTTTCACCTTGAGTGCCTGCAACTTCGCGTGATTATAATAAGCGACACCCAAGAAGGCCAACGCGTAACCAAACAAATTGATTGGCGTCACGGTATCCTTAATCACAGACCATGAGAACGCAATCAAGAGCCAATCTTTAACTACACCAGCCACATTCATGGTCAATGCAGAGGTCTTTCCCACTAGCAAGAACACCGCAAGATTCAGGGCAAACGCGCAGAGAGAATTGGTCCCAAAAATCAAATAATCCAAATGAAAGCTGGAGGTCTCCTTCAAGACGGGAAACTCAACAAAAACCCAAGGGAAAAACAAGAAAATCAAGCAGCAGGGTGCCACGTAATAGAGAGAAGTTATAGGGTTAAGAGTTATTCCCTTGGCAGTGAGCAAGATCTGGATCATAACAAGCCTGGTAGCTTCAAAAGCCACAGCACCCAGTTGCAGTATAACTCCCCATGTATCAAACTTAGCCTCCCCATAAGCAGCTATACCAACCCCAATGGAGATCGAAATCATATTCGTCATGGTCTCCGATTTAAAGATCTCCTTCTTAGAAAGAACCCCAATACTATACACAGCAACAGGCATAAGGGCCTTGAGCATTTGAATAAATGACACGGAGAGATAAATATAAGCAGAATTTGAAAGCCAGAGTGATAGCGAATAAAGAAGCCCAATTGGTACCACAGATTTCAAATAAAGATCCCAAGACATGGTAACAGGCTCGACTACCTTAAATACTCGAACCAGAAGAAAGGCCAAGGAAGAGCAAAAACTCATGTGAATCATTGTAAGAGAAATTGGGTACGGCCAGTTGTACATTTTCCGATCCAAGATGTACTTGTTGTAGACAATCACAGTGAAGGATAGGAAGATCCATATGGCGACGTAGGTGTAGGAAAGTACGATCTTCTTCAACACGCCATCGCTCAAAGCTCCTCCTCTCCCCATTGTTGTGTGCCGCGAAATCTCTGATTTTTGGGTATCAGATTTTTCAGATCAAGCAATGAAGGGGGAATTTATTTGCTTCTGGTGAAAGATTTATAGGTGGATTTGGGCGTTTGTGGAAGACTGAATTACAGAGAACTGAGAAGCGTTGCCAGTCTGATCAGACGAAAGTCATGGGTTCGCGTGGGTTCGGTAAGTAGACACTCTGGACCATAGTCATGAAGTTGTCGATTACGTGGACTGCGAGAATAGAATTTACCTGAAAAAAATAAATAAATTTTAAATTATTAAATTGTCTATAACTTATTTTTATAAAAAATATTAATCAAATGTATTTGATTGATTTAATTTTTAATTTAAAAATATTATACTTGTCCATTTTTTATTGATAGATATATGAGAAAGCGTGAATAAATGAGAAAGTAGATCACCTAAAAAATAAAAATCACTCATCCCTAAAGAAAACATTTTTCTTATTTTTTAAGGAAAATATGATCACATGAACAAATGTTTGAAAATATTTTTCATTGAAAAATTTGTCAATCAAATACCCTCAAGTAGGAATTTGAGTAAAAAAAAATGA